ATTGCTACAATGCGGTGGGCTCTCATGAGATTGTTTTCTCCGAGACTAAAGTGCTCTGCAAACCCACTGGCTACCATCAAAGGTTTGTACACGAAGCCATTCAGATATACAAACACAGACATAATTTCAACCGTGATGATGGGTACAAACTTAGTAATCATTGGAAAGATGTTATCAACCATGCAAGATTTAATTACACATTGTTGGACCATCTTATCGGACAGGCACTATTTTTACTTTACCGAGTGTTAACATCCCTAACGTTTAACAGTACTCTCTCTATTGTCAGCCAACATTGGTATAAACATGGGCATTTTTTTCCTTTCCTTTTATGTACATCCACAGTGACTTGCGCATAAACACGTCCTTGACCTCGACCACGAGTACCCCGTCCCTCTGTTAGCCCCGCCCCCCCCTCCCGATACTTTCCATTCATTGGCTACCACATTCTGATAAGCCCCTCCTCCCCTCCTCCCTTAACTGGTACTTAAGAGCCTACATCTTGAATCCCTCCCTCACTTGATGCAGCTAATCTTGCTGTGACGGTCCCACCTGATGACGGAGACTGGTATTGCCTCCGAAACGTGGTTATTTTCATTGTTTTATTTTTATTAATTTTTATTTCAATTTTTACCTACGTGACTTTACCGAAAGAACTAAGAGTATAAAAAACGGTGTCTCTGAGAGCTACATTACACTTGTATTTATTAAAATAAACAACTCCTGCATTATCATCATTGTCACGGAGCAATCTCAGTGTATATATAACCTTAGTAAATGTTATTTATAAACGACATCACAAGGCTATCAATAACATGAAGCAATTCCCATTTGTAACACAGCATCCTTTATTTAACCGCACCAGTTCTCAATGGAGCGAGGGGGTGAGGCCCCACTGGGTCAAACACCCCCTGTGTGAGTCTCTCGATGCGATTTTCCTCCAAATCCAGCCACTGGGTGTTGTCAGAGATCCCAGAGGGAACTGAACTCAGTCCCTTTCCTACACAGTTTGTCCTTTGGAGTCCATAAACCACACCGCATGAACACTGCGAGGGGCACGCGACTCCGCGCGCTCCCAGCTCTGAGCGAGACCCAAAGACTCCTGCACAGACCTCGCCTCCTCCAATACTCAATCATCGCTACTCCGCCAGCACCATCACCACGAATGATAATACTAATAGTATAACTATTTTTGAAACCACTACTACTACGTAACCATTATGAAACAATATTGCTAACACAATGACATCGTTAGAAATGTATGAAATACTTCCAGAGTTACTGCCACCACTACTGTCGGCAAGAACAGAAGACCCCTTCTGTAACTTGATACCGATGAACTGATTGATCAGTTAAGATCGATTCCTACGCGCCAAATAAACGCATCGAATCGTGTGTGTCATGAATCTCTACTGTTTCGTTTGTTGAAGAAGGAAAGTATACACATTGGAAGATAGCAGTACAGTACGTGTGTATGTTTGTTGGAATTATTTCGCACCGTACATAGCCAACCGTGATAATTAAATGTGCGGGGGAAGGACAACAAACTAAACACAGAAAGCAGTTATAAATGAATACGTTTTTAATCTAGATTTGAAAGTGCATAGCTCCAGTGTCGATTGCTGATTCTGGTTGCCAGAATCAGCAGTCGTACTCAGGACAGTGGTGTTTGACGGTTAATTATCTGTGCCTTGGGCAGCCACGTGACTCTTACTTTCAGCTGTGTGATTTACAGTACTTGAGGATGATGAATGCAGTGCGCCATCACCTGGAAAGGAGTGGATCGTGTCTCGCGAGAGAGAGATAATCGTCAATGATACACAGAAGAAGTTATGTTCGAGACAAAACATCCTTGCGGAACGCCAGAGTTAATGGGGACAATGTCCGATTGGCTGCCACCTTTTAACGAATGTATATTACGACGCAATGCCCGATCCACAAATACGAAGGAGACATCTCGGTGATACAATCCGCTACTCCTTACGCGGTTATCTAGCTTGACCACCTGCATGTGAATTTGTAGTTGTTGCTCCGCATCTACATCAGCCGTATCAAAGAAGGAGAAGTGAATGGGTGTGGGATAGTCCAGTTCAGATAGCCCTGGCCTGTGGACAACCTTGTGCGAATGGCATTATAGAAAGGAAGAACAACTTATTTAAAAAAGAAACGCACATGAGTGCAGATAATATGCCGCAACAAAGTTGTGCACAAGGAACTCCCTCTATACAGTGAGGGAAAAAAGTATTTGATCCCCTGCTGATTTTGTACGTTTGCCCACTGACAAAGAAATTATCAGTCTATAATTTTAATGGTAGGTTTACTTGAACAGTGAGAGACAGAATAACATCAACAACAAAATCCAGAAAAACGCATGTCAAAAATGTTATAAATTGATTTGCATTTTTATGAGGGAAATAAGTATTTGACCGCCTCTAAATCAGAAAGAGTTTTAGGTCCCATGTGTCTTTTATACCGGTTAACGAGCTACGATTAGGAGCACACTCTTAAAGGGAGGGCTCCTAATATCAGCTTGTTACCTGTATAAAAGACACCTGTTCACAGAAGCAATCAATCAGATTTGAAACTCTCCACCATGGCCAAGACCAAAGAGCTCTCCAAGGATGTCAGGGACAATATTTTAGACCTACACAAGGCTGGAATGGGCTAAAAGACCATCGCCAAGCAGCTTGGTGAGAAGGTGACAACAGTTGGTGCGATTATTCGCAAATGGAAGAAACACAGCAGAACTGTCAATCTCCCTCGGCCTGGGGCTCCATGCAAGACCTCACCTCGTGGAGTTGCAATGATCATGAGAACGGTGAGGAATCAGCCCAGAACTACACGGGAGGATCTTGTCAATGATCTCAAGGCAGCTGGGACCATAGTCACCAAGAAAACAGTTGGTAACACACTACGCCGTGAAGGACTGAAATCCTGCAGCACCCGCAAGGTCCCCCTGCTCAAGAAAGCACATATACATACCCGTCTGAAGTTTGCCAATGAACATCTGAATGATTCGGAGGACAACTGGGTGAAAGTGTTGTGGTCAGATGAGACCAAAATGGAGCTCTTTGGCATCAACTCAACTTGCCGTGTTTGGAGGAGGTGGGATGCTGCCTATGACCCCAAGAACACCATCCTCACCGTCAAACATGGAGGTGGAACATTATGCTTTGGGGGTGTTTTCTGCTAAGGGGACAGGACAACTTCACCGCATCAAAGGGACGATGGACGGGGCCATGTACCGTCAAATGTTGGGTGAGAACCTCCTTCCCTCAGCCAGGGCATTGAAAATGGGTCGTGGATGGGTATTCCAGCATGACAATGCCCCAAAACACACGGCCAAGGCAACAAAGGAGTGGCTCAAGAAGAAGCACATTAAGGTCCTGGAGTGGCCTAGCCAGTCTCCAGACCTTAATCCCATAAAAAATATGTGGAGGGAACTGAAGGTACGAGTTGCCAAACGTCAGCCTCGAAACCTTAATGACTTGGAGAAGATCTGCAAAGAGGAGTGGGACAAAATCCCTCCTGAGATGTGTGCAAACCTGGTGGCCAACTACAAGAAGCGTCTGACCTCTGTGATTGCCAACAAGGGTTTTGCCACCAAGTACTAAGTCATGTTTTGCAGAGGGGTAAAATACTTATTTCCCTCATTAAAATGCAAATCAATTTATAACATTTTTAACATGCGTTTTTCAGGATTTTGTTGTTATTCTGTCTCTCACTGTTCAAATAAACCTACCATTAAAATTATAGACTGATCATTTCTTTGTCAGTGGGCAAACGTACAAAATCAGAAGGGGATCAAATACTTTTTTCCCTCACTGTAGCGGGTCTTGATGGAAGTAACTGGAATCACTTTAACTACGCATATATCTAGATAGTTATACCTGAGGATCGGTCTGCTTAAGCTTAGGTATAACTCACCGTCTACGTACCCACCGACCTACCCATAACATGTGATACAATGGGCCGGTGCAGGTGTGCCGGTTCATTCTGTAGAGTCTCGGCAGCGGGTTGGAGCCTGAACTCCCTGCCTGCCTCCTCGCCTGCTTGAAAATGTGTGGTCACGTGGAGCGCGTGAAAGTGAAGTTTCATGGACAGAGTCGAGCAACGTCGCGCACCTCATATTAGCACGGTTGGCTACGTACCGTGCGACACCTGCTGAGCCGAGTCACCAAGCCAAGGTGTTGACATTTATCTGGCTCATTTCCACACGTGAATCACAGCTGTTGAACCTGTTTTTTTTCTTCTAGTTTACCTGTTTTAAACTGAACTTTGCGCCGCTCCCGAATAATGTAGGGTAATGTTGAGCTAAGAATTGTGACTGTATCCTCCAAACAAGTGCCGTCCGTGAAGATTCACCAGATAATCAAACACCCCAACGGGCAGAGCCGTCGGCTCATTGGCTTTGGAGCGGCGACTGTTTGAGATTCGCCGGATCCTGTCGCGACGATCGGGTCAGATGGTCAAACACCCGCTCAGTGGGGCGGGTCGAACCCGGCTGTTCGGTTTCACTCAGGCTCGCCGGAGACCGCGTGGCTTCTTCACAGGCCGTAGAGCCCCACGTGTGCGTCCCTGCCTCTGTACAGCGAGGGGCACACACGCGTGCGTTCCTACGCAATGTGTTCAGGCGAAATGATCTGCGCTCGCACGGGACGTCCCGTGTGGGATGAGTCGAGTGCGAATGCGGCATTGTCAGCCTCTTGCAAAACATGAAGTCATAACCATTTTCTCAATGTGCGATGCACGGTAGACTGATAGTTTCAGTAGAAGTACAACATTATCTGTTTTTGTGATCATCTTCCTACCCGTCAACTGTTAATAATTGTTATTTATAATAACTTGTAACATTTTATCATCAGTCTTTTTGGGGACTGGTATGAATGTGTAATGATAAAAGCTTTCTAAATCATCATCAGTGTCATAATTCATCATCAGCACGAGCATTTAGATCGTCAGCAGCAGCTGATTCCATGCTCAACAGTCATGCTTTGTGTCAGGGACGCTCTTCAGCTGGTTTCCGTGCAGAGCCAACCGCTTCAGCTTGGTGAGTTTGTCAATGCCAGTGGGCAGCTGTGTGAACTTGTTGCAGCACAAATCCAGAGCCACTATATTCATGAGGCGGTTAAACAGTCCCTCGGTTAGAAAGGTCAGTTGGTTGCTGTAGAGCAGGGGTCCTCAAACTGCGGCCCGCCGAGGACATTTATCCGGCCCATGGTCACTAATTGGGCTGCGCTTGTGAGCACTAATTGGGCTGCGCTGGTGAGCACTAATTGGGCTGCGCTGGTGAGCACTCATTGAGCTGCGGTGGTGGGCACTGATTGGGCTGCGGTGGCGAGCACTGATTTGGCTGCGCTGGTGAGCACTGATTGAGCTGCGGCGGTGGGCACTGATTGAGCTGCGGCGGTGGGCACTCATTGGGCTGCGCTGGTGAATGGTTTAATGGGCCAATTGACTGGACTTGCCCCCCAGACCTAAGGCTGCCAGCCCTCCCCTGGCTGTGCTTGACTGGCTCTCCCTCCCTCAGCTCCCTCACTTGCCCCTCGGCTCCACTCCCAGTGATATTCCTGTGTGCTGGGGATGTACTGCGATCTGTGAACAAAACTGCAGGTGTAATTAACTTTTTAATGGCACCACCCGCACCAGTGTGAGCCTGGGGTAAAAGCGGAGTTCCCCCAATCAGACTGCATTGATGGGCAGTACAGTCTGTATGTCTCTGTGTGGGCAAAGTTATTGCTGGTATATTGTTTTTGTAGCGCTGTATATATATTGGTATTTTACTAATAGCAATTTTGACTCCCTAGGAAACAATGATGTCAAGAAAGAGAAAAATTGACTCGGAGTGTAGGATATTCAAAGAACAGTGGACTTATGATTACTTTTTCATGCAGTACAAGGAAATAGCTGTGTGTCTGATATGCCAGAATATAGTGTCTGTGTTCAAAGAATACAATTTACGTCGACACTATGAAACTCAACATAAAGATAAATATGATTTCGATTTAAAGCTTTCGTGACTGCAGGGATTCATCTTCTTGGTTCTTTCGGTAAAGTCACGTAGAAGGGAAGTAATAAAATAATAAAAATAAAACATAATAAAACAATTCTCACGACGTTTCGGCCACAACGCAAGCAGCCGTCCTCAGGTGAAAAAACCAGGTCCGTCGAGGCGACAGAGTCTGAATGAAACAGCACACGAGCTTGGAGCATATATATAAGCTGGGCGCCTTGACAAAGGAATTTTCATATCAAGATGAATTTAGCATATTTATGGGAAATGCAGGAATGTGATTAGTACTACATATGCATGTGCATTATGCAGGATTAACAGCATCAAAGGGAGCTGCAGGTACTGCTGCTGCTGCAGTTGCTGCTGCTGCTCTGCAGTTTCTGCTGCTGCTGCAGTTTCTGCTGCTGCTGCAGTTTCTGCTGCTGCTGCAGTTTCTGCTGCTGCTGCAGTTTCTGCTGCTGCTGCAGTTTCTGCTGCTGCTGCAGTTTCTGCTGCTGCTGCAGTTGCTGCTGCTGCAGTTGCTGCTGCTACTGCAGTTGCTGGCTTATCCATTTTAATATAACACTATGTATTATTTTACCTACCCTAATGTGTATCACACTGCTATATATTTACTATATAATTACGACACCATACATTACTCTGCACACTGCACCATGCCAGTGAGTGGAACGCGGTCTGAAAGTCACCGTAAACGTGAACCCAATCAGTTAAGATCCGAAATGGTTTATTACATCCTTCCAATGATTGCTAAGCCAGAATCCATCTTCTCGGTTAAAATTGTCTCTGTGTTTGTATATGTGGATCGCCTCATGAACGAATCTCTCATCTGGCTATCATGAGAGATTCGTTCATGAGGCGATCCACATATACAAACACAGAGACAATTTTAACCGAGAAGATGGATTCTGGCTTAGCAATCATTGGAAGGACGTAATAAACCATTTCGGATCTTAACTGATTGGGTTCACGTTTACGGTGACTTTCAGACCGCGTTCCACTCACTGGCATGGTGCAGTGTGCAGAGTAATGTATGGTGTCGTAATTATATAGTAAATATATAGCAGTGTGATACACATTAGGGTGGGTAAAATAATATCTATGAAAAAGTTTGCCAAACTGAATGGTTTGGAGCTGAACTGGGCTAAACTAGCCAGTGTGACAACTGATGGTGCTCCTAGCATGGTGGGGTCTAAGAAAAGAGTAATTGCTCGCATTAACCAAGAGATGGACAAACATAACCATTCTCATCCAATAGCCATACACTGCCTCATCCACCAACAAGCGCTGTGTAGTAAATCACTGAAGTGGGACTCTGTTATGAAAATTGTGGTATCTTGTGTTAACTTCATTAGAGCTCATGCACTAAACCACAGACAATTTCAGGAATTTCTGTCCGAACTAAATGTTGACTATGAAGATGTTCTGTACCACACAGAAGTCCGTTGGCTGAGTCGAGGGAGAGTTTTGAAACGTTTCTATGACTTATTTCCACAGATTACAGCTTTTCTTCTTTCAAAAAACAAAGAAGTACCAGAGCTCAATGATGCAGAATGGAAATGGCACCTTGCCTTTCTGACAGATGTAACAGATCTACTCAACAGTTTCAATGTGCAACTTCAAGGAAAGGGGAAGCTCATCTGTGATATGCAATCACATGTCAAAGCATTTGAAGTAAAATTAGGCATCCTCATCAAACAAGTTAAGGAGGAAAACTTCTGCCATCTCCCCACAACTCAAAATCTGTTAGCGGAAAAACCATTGGTTGCAATTCCCAAACAAAACATGTGTGGATTCACTGGAAAAATTGCAAAAGGAGTTCCAATTTAGATTTAAAGAGCTTCATCTCTATGAACAGGACATACAGCTTTTCCGTAACCTATTTTCTATTGACATTGAAAATGTGGATACAATTTACCAAATGGAACTGGCTGAACTGCAGAATTGTGACTCTCTGAAAGACGCATTCAAGTCAAGCAGCCTTCATAATTTATATGCATCTCTCCCCTCTGAGACATATCCTCATCTCAGGAACCATGCACTCAAAATGGCAACCATCTTTGGCAGCACTTATGTCTGTGAACAGACTTTTTCCAGAATGAAACATTTGAAATTTCCAACCAGATCTAGACTAACGGATGCACACTTGCATCACTTGTTACGACTAGCAGTGACAAATATGGAACCGGACATTGACCATCTCATTAGCCAAAAGCAGGCCCATAGTTCCCATTGAAATACTGGCAAGTTTGTTGATTTAACTTTACTTGTTCTTCATTTTAAATATTGTATTTGTTCCCGTTTTGTTTCTTCACTTCAAAATAGGATATATGCAGTATGCATAGGAATTTGTTCATGGTTTATTTTAACTATAGTCCGGCCCTCCAACGGTCTGAGGGACAGTGAATTGGCCCCCTGTTTATAAAGTTTGAGGACCCCTGCTGTAGAGCTTAAGATCCTTCAGATTCGTCAGTTTGTCAAACATTCCGGCGGGTATGAACGACAGTCGGTTCTGATACAAAAACAGCTGTTGCAGATTGATCAGTCGGTCAAACACCCCCTCGGGTAGAGCTGTCAGCTGGTTGGTATGAAGGCTGAGATAAGTCAGTTGCGTTAAACTGTCAAACACCCCAGCGGGGAGAGCTGTGAGTTCATCACTGAGCACGATTCTGATCTGCGGATCAGCAGCCGCCTCCTCTTGCTGTAGAGCAGCCTCTACAAGAGAGCGTCGCTCTTCACACGGCAGTGGAGTTCAACACGGGTCCCTAGGTCGCGTTAGCGGCGTCGTGTTCACCTCACATCTCGGCACCTCGCTCCATGCCGCGCCCGCTGTCTGTGCGGTGCAGTACAGCGACCCGGACGGTGTTCAGAGCTCGCCTCGCATTCCCTCTGGAACATTTTTTCTCGATCAGTAGAATTAATTCTGGAATTCCCCTGTCCATGGGAGCCTCATCGAGTACCGAGTCTGTCTTCAGGATGATGCTGCACCAATAGGACGTTTGCCTAATTTCTGTTTGTTGAGAATGTTGCGCTCCTGGTGCTGCGTGTGTAGTCGCTCTTGTTGCGCTGTGCTGTTGTATAGTTTTGTTTTGACATTGCAATTTTTTTGCTTTGCGTTGCTGTGTGGTTGTTGTTGTGATTGTTATTATTGTTGTTGTTGCTGCACTACCACAAACCCGCACGGCACATGCGAGTTTTTGTTCAAGATCAATATCAGCTCTCATTATTCACACAATTCACTCATTATTCACTAATATGCAATGACACTGCAGACCAACTTGTAGCACAAGAGGGCACGATGACAACGATGATGATGACGATGGTTGTGGATGTCAATAACGCGGTAGCTTTACAAACTGAATGCTACTGATGACGAGTGTCATCTCTATCCCGTTGCCCAGCGACACAGCAGTGACCGTTCCTGACTGTGTTGGATCCGTTTGTCCAACGGGCACCTGGGAATGCTCTTCAGTTGATTGTTGTACAGAACCAGCTGCTGAAGATTCACCAGGCTAATCACATCACGAAGCTCGAGCCTGGGGTGTTTGACAGTCTGACGGCACTGGAGGAGACACGAGTTAATGCATCTCTGTGAAAGCGAATCGAAGTGAATGTAAGAGGTCTCTGTGAGAGGCATCAAAGCGAATGGATCACGTGGTAATTAGTAACGCGGTTTTGTATGAAATGAACTCAAGTGGATTTATTTGACACTTCTTTAAATGAAAGGGAATTAAGGTCTCCTAATCTCACAGGTGTTTATGCAAGTAGATTACATTAATTTTATCTAGCAGGTCTTGATGGAAGTAACTGGAATCACTTTAACTGTCAGGTTTCATGTAAAGTGAGTCGGAGTTGTTTGAGATCAGAAGTGTCTGTGATAGCAAATTGAGGTTTTGTCACCTGCCGTGCCGGCATGGAAGAGATTGCAAGTGGTCTGGTTAATAACTTCATGTGAAAGGATTTTTATCATTATCATATAACCGTGCGAGTGGTGAGAGTTCACTTTGAAAGAACCGGTCACTATCATCATCCTAAGCCATGAGTAGCCGTTAGGGTGTTTAACAGTCTGACCCAGTTGTCTATTTTGGATCTTAATAGCAACCAGCTGCAGGCTCTTCCCGCTGGGTTGTTTGACCGCCTGGGGAATCTGCAGCAGTTGGATCTGAGCAACAACCAGCTGAAGAGCGTTCTCAGAGGCGCGACTGCCGGTCGCTAGAGTCGACGCTTCGACTTTCTACACTCAAGTAAACTCGCATTCTCAGCCCACCCTCTGTATGAGTTAACAAATCACCGCCAACTCGACGAAGCTGTAATTTGAACAGCAAATGTTTCCATATTCCTGGGTTCACCAACATCTATAAGAATCCAAAAAAATGCGAATAAAAGGCGAACGAAAGCGACTGAGAAATGCGCACAGTAGCACTGCGAGTTGCAAGCTTGGATAGATTGAGAGGCAGAGACAACGCAACGATCAGAGAAGAAACGCTTGTGAATGGTATTTAACGGTTTACAAAAGTAAGCTGGCTTGGCTAGGATATGGCACGAGAAGGGATGATGGTCGATAACAACAGCGGAGTAGCACCCAAAGGAGGGAACGTGCCCTGAAGGGCGTTCACTTTTAGAGATGGAGTAATGACAGCAGCTCGTGTGGAGGTGCGAGGTAGATTACTACATTGCATGGTCGTGAATACGGCTCGCAGTGGATTGATCATGGCTGTGTATGATTACATAAACACATATTGATAAATATACATTTCATATTAAGTCAGTGATAGCCACTTGTAATGTATACTTCTATTCGCAAGAGAGACCTTAGAAAGATATTAATTCGTTATTCTATAGATTTACTAATAAGTTAACTACTAGACGCAAATACAACACAACTGAAAACAAACCTCAAAAGTGGTCAGTATTTACGGCATGTAGATGTTCAAACGAAGCAGTCTTTAAAGTATTAGGGGGAAAACATTTTCACGGAGATCTTCAAGAACAGGCAACTCGTGTAAATGTTGGACCACACGCGATGTCTCTCGCGTGCAAGGGGAGGCCGTTGTGAGCCGCCTCTAAACCGTCGCCCGTCCCTCGCAGTGTTCGTGCGATCAGACAATTGTGTACTGCCATAGCAGAAGCCTCGCGTCTGTGCCTGCGGGAATCCCCACCGACAGGAAGGGCCTGTGGTTGTATGATAATCAGATCACGAAGCTCGAGCCCGGGGTGTTTGACAGACTGACGGCACTGGAGGAGACGCGAGACCCTGAGGCTCCTGCTAAAGCCGCTGTGAACTTGCACCGAACTTGACTCCTCTACCGAAGGGCTGGTCCATGGTCCATCTTCCTCCATCTGATGCGAGTTGAAATCACAGTAAATACATAATTTGGTAGCTGTGTTGGCAGTGGCGCAAAGGCAAAATTAACAAGAACACGTGTATTCGTCAATCACCCTTCAGAGATCAGGGGAAGTGAGCAGAGAGCAAGCAAAGTGTTGAGCTGATATATGGTCTCAGTCCAAGAACGAATGACTTAACACAAATATGGTGTTTATGGTGGAGCCTGTTCATTCTACAGTGTGTATGGTGTTCATGGTACAGTGTTTAGGGTGTTCATGGTTAAGCATGTAGATTGTTCATGGTGCAGCGTGTAGGGTGTTCATAATGCAGAATGTATGTTGTTCTTGGTAAAGCATGTAGAGTGTTCTTTCTGCAGCGTATAGGGTGTTCATCGTGCAGCATATAGGGTGTTCATTTTGCAGCATGTAAGGTGTTCATGGTTAAGCGTGTAGAGTGTTCCATCTGCAGCGTGTATGGTGTACATAGTGCAGCGTATAGGGTGTTCATGGTGCAGCGTGTAAGGTGATTATGGTTAAGCATGTAATGTTTTCATAGTGCAGTGTGTAGGGTGGTCATGGTGCAGTGTGTAGGGTGTTCATGGTTAAGCGTGTAGAATGTTCATCGTCCAACGTGTAGGGTGTGCATAGTGCAGAGTAGTTGGTGTTCATGGTGCAGCGAGTATTGTGTTCAGTGTGCAGCATGCACTGTGTTCATATCGCAGCAAGTAGGGTGTTCATAGCGCACTGTGGAGGGTTTTCATTGTGCAGGGTGTTGATGCGTCAGCCTGTAGAGAGTATATGTATGTATTTTGAACTTATTTCACACTGTACGTAGCTAGCCATGCAAATAATCGTAGGTGCTGGACAAGGACAACACACTAAACACAAAAGGCAATTCAAAAAAATTAGTGTTCAAACTAGATTTAAAAGTTCGTATCTGCGATGGCTTCCTAATATCGGAAGGAATAACGTTCCAGACGGTCGCAGAAGCGCACCTGAAAGCGTACAATCCAGTGACCGTCTTTGCTCGATAGCTAGCCAAAATCCACTGCGAGGAAGACCAGAGTTCGTGTGATGGTTTATGATCCTTTGAGATCAGAAAGGTATTGTGGTTCAGTTGTGGCAAGCACTTTATGTGTAATGAGCGCGACCTAATAATGTATTCGCTAGGCAACCAAAAGCCAATCTAGCTTGGTGAGGCCTGGACGGTCGGATCGTGCAGTTCCCATCACGACACGTGCCAAAACGTTGTACACGCTGCAGCTTTGTAATTATGTTTTTTGTTAGACGTCCCGTACAATAGTGAGTGGCAATAATCAAGCCTTGTCGATACTTTGCTACACGCCACTGTGTTAGCCCCTGGCCACGCCCCCTTTCTAGAACCTACCCACGGGTTCCCCGTGTGCCCCTTCCGTGACCTTTCCCCTAGATCCCTCTCTGGTGTATCACCTCGCCTGCTGTAATCAGGGCTGCTATAAGCTGCAGATCCCCTTCCCCGCCAGCAGCCAGCGCTATGCTACATGACAAATTCTATGTCACTACACATAGACCTGGTTGCCTCGTTAATGGGTGGTTGAAAACCAACAGATGCGTCAAAGACCACGGTGGTCGCAAGCCGACTCATTGACGTGCAGAGCATAGAACGATCTGCGAGACTCAATCGTGAGTCAGTTGACAGATCTGCAGGTGGCTCTGTAAGTGAGTTGTCTCAAAACCATTTTTTTCCAAAGATGCTGCAGCCTCCTCCTCGTCTGCTTCGCAACGATCACCTCCGGTGACAGATAATTATTGCACACATTCTCTGTTCTATTTGTGCTTGTTCGGATAGGCCCCAGTTCATCAACAAAGTGGTGATGTAATTTTCTAAATGAGCTGCAAATGAATCGAGTGTGGATGCAGGATTTAGACACGCAGATGACGGCCGGATATTTTGATTGAAACCATCGTGGTCCAGTAAGAGGCTGATGATTGGATGGTAAACATGCAATAATTCACTCCACTAGCCATTAGATTAATTGTCACGATTCAATTAAATAGTCTACTATTATTTTGGCCGTGTTTTTCCATCTCCCTTGCACTGTGGTGCTTTGTTCCGTCTCAATTGCAATGATTTACTTGTTGAGGAAAAGGATACTATTGTAGTGCGTTCAACTGAGTCACAGACGTTATATTTGGGAGCAACACTATTTATGCACATAACAGTACGTAACATAACACAACCTAAGCTCGGGTCTCGAATGCCCATCTAACCACACTACGGCAGAACTAGACACGGTTCGCTATCCCGGTCCGGACCGCGTGGCTTGAGGCTTCTTCTCCCTGACGTGGATCTTCGAACACCAGCACTTGAAGAACCCCGAGCTCCTCGCAGAGCTCTCATTATATGCTCCTGGGCTGGGGCTGGCTCC